CCGTGGATTAACATATGATCATATGGGTAGATATGAAGAAGCACTTGCAGATTATAATAAATCATTAGAAATAAGACCAAATTATGCAACTACTTTAAATTGTCGTGGATTAACATATGATCATATGGGTAGATATGAAGAAGCACTTGCAGATTATAACAAATCATTAGAAATAAATCCAGATAATGCAACTACTTTAAATAATCAATAATCGTGGATCACATAAGAATATGAGTAGATATGAAGAATTATTGTCTGAAAAATGAGTAATAAAATTATAAAATGAACAGAATTAAAGTGTACTTTACAATAATTTACTTTACATTAATAACATGGGCATTATTAACTGGGACATTAACTTGATCGCTAATAACTGGGCTATTATTAAAAGTAAACATTATTTGGCACGTACATTTTAATCGGGGTTAAACTGCCACCAAAAAAAAATTTTTATGCACATTTGTCATGTGTTATGTATTTGTTGACTTTTGTCAATTCGTAATCGGTATTAATTTTACAGATTAATTAAAATATTCAATTAAATTTATCATATTGCAACAATAATAAAGTTAAATACTAAATATACTTTATTTTGTTAGAAAAATAATTACATGAGATAAAAAAATTGTTATATGTATCCACATCGCTTTAGAAATGAATTGTTTATTTTAGATCATCACTAATGTATAAAACTTCATTTATCGGATAAATAAATTGACAAAAGTTTACTGATACCTTATAAAAAACGCATCCTGACTTTCTCTAGGCTATCGTTCATTTTTCCGAACAAAACATATACAAATTCCTGGGCATTTCCATAGAATCCTAGTAAATTCCGGGTAAAAGTTAAATTTGGTTAAGATTAGACTTCTAATTGTAATAAAGTATAAAAGATTATAGCCGTTATCATAATTTCTGGAACACCTGATAAAATTAGCCGAATGATTTTTCAGCCGATTCGGATAAGTTTTGATTTCGGCATGATCCATATAATAAAAGCTATTTTAGAATCATACCTAGGAAAATGATCATGTAGGCGGCTTCGCGCCCATAACAAATATATTAAAGATAGTGAATTTGTTCGCCTTATTTTTATTTTGGAAGAAATCTTAAGCCTTTCCTCATTAAATGTTCCATCGTGAATTTAATGCGTCAACTTTGGCCCTCCGGGGCCAAAGTTGGTGTATTTAACGTTATAGCTGTTTTCATAATTCCTGAAACACCTGATAAAAATTTGCCGAATGGTTTTTTGGCCGATCTGGTTAAGTTATTGATTTCGGCATGATCGATACATAACGATAAATTACAATTTATGTTATGTTATACACATATAGATTACGTTGTAATTTGAAATATTTATGTTTCCGCACAGACTAAACACACCATAGCACTAAACATGTTGGGCAAGTATTTAAACGAAAATTTAGTGATATTAAACGTGCCGACATTTATAATGTTAGAATTATCGTAGAAAAGTATCATATATAATGCATATGTCTTTTATATATATGGATATAGGATATATAGGGTGGAAATTTGCATGTAGATTTCTGATATGCAATTTTGTTATGTAAATAACGTTGTTCAGAACTTTTATAGAGCTGGCACACAAAGTCTAATAATGCTGGCAAAACTTTTATAATGCAGATCAATAATCATGTGCCACTGCATTAATTAATGTAAAAGTTATGTACATACGTTGTAAAAGGCAATTCCCACCCTTCAATACAAGAATATACTTCAACACTAATACAAACTAACTAAACTACTCTAACCAGAACACCACAACTAATACATCCAAACCCTAATACTGGTAAGGCAATGATTGAGGCGTGGAAAGACTTGGTCCGAGTAACTAGGGTGAATTGGGTTCTTAGTAATAGTGTCGGATTAGAGCTCTTGATTACGTCACGAATCTCTTTACACAGAGTCACGGGATTTGGTCACGAATTCCAATCGTTATTACAGATTTTACTTATCGGGGGTTTAGTAGAACAAACGCTTCTACTTAAAGAACTTACTAATCACAAGTCAAATACTCTGATTTCTTTGACTTAGACCATCGAACTCCCTGGAGTTAGTTTTTTTATTCGGGACGAAAGGCATTACTTTTATACTTTTTACATTACTACGGTACAAGTCGAACTTATTTACTTAATTCACTTAGTTCGATAAGTTCACGAAGTTCGATAAGTTACAGAAGTCAAAGAAGTTTGATAAGTCAAACTTTCGTGACTTGATGATTTTCTTGCTCTTACTATCTTTGGCTAGGCTCGATCTAAGCCACCTCAGCATACGAAAGGAGCCAATATTCACCCGATTGTTAAATTTAATATGTATCCAACACTCCAAATATAGAAAATTCTATTACTAGCCACGATTTACCCTTTCACAATCTCCCCAGCTTAATTTCGAGTTCCACGAGAAAATCCAACACAAACAAGATAAAGGAAATTGAGAAATACGAATAATTATGAAAAAGAAACAAGGAGAAAAATAATAAAATAAAATAAAATAAAGAAAAAATGAAATAAATAAATAATAATAATTAATTTTATCAAGAGGACTCGATTACTAATTTTTTCAATAAAAATTTTCCACCGGGATCAAATATTCGTTTTTGAAGGTCACATGTTGACAAATACCAAAGGGTTGTGGTTGCGTCAATTTTCATTCGGGAAGGCGCATTTTCTTCAGGTTCGTTTTTAATATTTTTCAGGTGCCGTTTGAACACTTTATTGTCATCGCTATCTTCGCCAACTAACGTTTCTCGATCGTCTTCATCCGTCATTTCATCATTCATTCCTTCTATCTCATCATACCCCTGATAATAGGTAAATGTCTTACATCCTTTCTTTTCGAAACTGATTCCATTTTGGTTACAATATCCAAGAACCACATTCGGGTCGAATGGTGGAGGAGGTTCTCCAGGATCGATTAGGTATGGGTTCTTTATTTCATTCGGATTATCTTTGATCATCCTTCTAAATTCGTTAACACTTCTATTCCAGGATACGCATGCTTCATCCGATCTTTCTGCCGAAAGATGTCGACCTTTCCATTGTTCTCGTTCACCAGAGTTCGTTATCTTTTCATCTTTGTCAGCTACGATTACAGGCCAAGAGCAACATCCACCCAAATCAAAATGTCCACTAGCATCTTCAGCGCTTTTCCAATACCGTTTAGACGCTTTGGAGTTGTCCTTTTTAACTTCAATTCCATTTTCTTGGCCAATTCCGAGGTTATTCTGTCCCTTCGAATTGCCTTTTTTAGCTGATTTCAAGTCCCATTCAAACACATTATTTTCGTGTTTTTCAACGCTAATTTCATTCTGCGTGCAAGGTCCAAGGTTAGCTTCTTTATTAGCACAGTCCGTTACAGCAGGCTTTCGAGGGCTATTGAATGCTCTATATTCGTCCTTTTCAGCATCGATCCCCTTAAATGTTTCTTTGGCCAGTTCCATTTCGGTAGGTCCTTTTATTTCGTACGTAGCTATTCGGTATTCATCAACTTTTCTTAGCCATTCTTCACACTTACGGTGCAGGGCTTCTTTTTCCAGGGACTTTTCGGACATATCGTCATTTATTCCATCGTCATTCCTATCATTGTTACAAATCAGCGTCTTAGGATCACTTTTATCCGCAGTTTCGTCATCGTCGATTTCTTCGGACCTTGTGGGTACGTTTTCTACTTGATTTTCCTTTTTCTGCTCCAATTCGTTTAATCTCAACTTATTAACGGCATCCACTTCAACTGACTTTTGACAATAGGTGAACCAGTAATGGCACATTGTCATTTAAAAATAAATGACACTTGTTATATGACAAGTCATTTTTGTCATAAAAAAATCATTTATTTTTTTATGACTATACTTGTCATTTATAGTTTATATAAATTTTATAGACTAGCAACATGCAAAGGAAGGTGAATAGTAGCAAGGCGGCCCAATGGCAGCTCTAGAAAAGTGGCTGGCTATATTTGCACCCAGCCTATAGAATCCTGAAATTTTTCAAAATTTTCATGATTACAGCCGGCCTGCATTATGCAGGTGAGAAACTACCGGCTAGGATCATGCATTGTTATATTATTTTATCAATATTTTATATTTTTTTATTTTGGTATAGTTCATGGTATAGTTGGGTGACTAATACTCTGAACAAGGGTTAATAAACCTCAGCAAGAGATAATGACTCTCAAAGAGGTTTAAAATCCTATACGAATAAGGATATATAAGAGTATTAATATTATTGTCATTTATTTGTCATTTTAATATCATTTATAAAAATATTTTTTATGACTTGTCATTTTGCCATGGTTTTGTATAAATTTTTTTATAATAAATTTTTTTTATAATAAATGACATTGTCATTTTAAAATGACATGTTATTTATGATCATTTTCATAAAAATTTTTATGACCTTGTCATTTGCCATTACTGAGGTGAATGGCTTATATTCGTCCTTTCTAACTTCTGTTCCATTTTGCTGGCAGAGTTCGGGGCTATACTTCTTATCTGGATTATCATTTCCTGCATGTTTTCTTATTTCTTTATTCTCATCCTTCCTAATACCAATTTCATAGCAGGGTCTAACAAGATATGTTCATTAGCATCACCCATATCTGCAGCCTTTTGATAATAAACAACTGCCTCAGGGTCATTTTTTTCGGTACCAATTCCATTTGGATAGTAGGGTCCAATGTCGGTTCTTTTGTCAAGTTGATCTGCACCAGCAGATTCTTGGAGGTCATTGAATGACTTAGGGTCATCTAGTTCAATACCAATTCCTTTGGTCGGTGGGTCTGCTTCATCTTTTTCGGCATCGATTCCATTTTGGTGGCAATAACAGGACCCCAAAAATCTCTGTTACAACTTAGATCTGAGTTTGTATAATATCAGCCAAATAGGCGTATAAAATAGACTAAAATTTAAAAATTTACTATATAAAAATGCAATGTTTGATGAATTTCTATGCAAAATTTTCTTTTTTAGTAATCTTTGAGTTATATCAGAGATCTTCAGGGTCTGCAATAACAATAGTTGCCTTTTCTATCATTACGACCTATTTCTGCTGGCTTTTGGTAATAGGTGAATACCTTAGATTCATCTTTTTTAACTCCAACTCTTTTATTCTCATTCTTTTCAATGCCAGGTCCGATTTGATAACAGTCTTCATGGTTTTCGAGTTTGGATCCCTCCAACTCATTCGGTTTAGACATCCAAGTTTCCAAGATTTCCAAATAACTGTCGATTAGATTTTTTAGAGCAACTTCAGCGTCAAAGTTACTGATCTCAGGTATAACTTCCAGAGCAATATATAGGTCAATTAGTTTAATGGTCGGGTCCTTCTTGAACTGGGACAGTGTTAGAAAAACTTCTGGGGTAGGTTTTACTAGAAACGGTCTTTTCTTTTTCATGGTTGCAAAAACTTGGATATAAGGCAGTAAGTATAGAATTGGCACTTTCTTATTATTTTTACTATTTGTTAAATCTTCTAATACTTTTAATAATAATTTCAGAGCCTAGAGAAGTTGCGCATCATCAATGTAGTCATTTCCGAAGGCTTCATTAATGAGATGTTGGAATTCGACTGCTTGTTCATCGGTAAGAGTCTTAGTTAGAGCGATGCATTTTTTATTTAGCTCTTCTAATTTATGATATTTACTAATTATGTGTTCTATTATATTACAATAAGTGCACCAGGATAGTTTTTTAAAGGTTTTTCGACATGGTTTATAATTCCAAGACCTTTCTTAGACCTGTTGTGGCGGGGTCTCTTTCATTCGGTACTAGGTATTTCTCTTAGGATATTGATATGATTTGGCTTGATTGATAGATATTTGATTTGGGGGGTGATAAAAATCTATTTTGTATAGTACTGGAGTTATTAATAGTTCATCCTAACGTCAAGGTTAATTTAGGAGATTAGTTCATCTCACAGTCACCACCAAATTGTAAAAGGCAATTCCCACCCTTCAATACAAGAATATACTTCAACACTAATACAAACTAACTAAACTACTCTAACCAGAATACCACAACTAAAACATCCAAACCCTAATACTGGTAAGGCAATGATTGAGGTGTGAAAAGACTTGGTCCGAGTAACTAGGGTGAATTGAATTCTTAGTAATAGTATCAGATTAGAGCTCTTGATTATGTCACGAATCTCATTATACAGAGTCACAGAATTTGGTCATGAATTCCAATTGTTATTACAGATTTTACTTATCAGGTTTAGTAAAACAAACACTTCTACTTAAAGAACTTACTAATCACAAGTCAAATACTCTGATTTCTTTGACTTAGACTATCAAACTCCCTGGAGTTAGTTTTTTTATTCGGGATGAAAGGCATTACTTTTATACTTTTTTCATTACTACGGTACAAGTCAAACTTATTTATTTAATTCACCTAGTTCGATAAGTTCACGAAGTTTGATAAGTTACAGAAGTCAAAGAAGTTTGATAAGTCAAACTTTTGTGACTTGATGATTTTCTTGCTCTTACTATCTTTGGCTAGGCTAGATCTAAGCCACCTCAGCATATGAAAAAAGCCAATATTTACCCGATTGTTAAATTTAATATGTATCCAACCCTCCAAATATAGAAAATTCTATTACTAGCCACAATTTACCCTTTCACAATGTACGTATATATTTGTAATTTGTAATTTGATAACGAAATAATAACTTAACCAGAACGGCTGAAAATCATTCAACAGATTTTTTATCAGATGTTTCAGAGAGTATGAAAACTGCTATAAAGCCTTTGTATGTATATAAAACGATCATACTGTGATCTGTACAGCTGTAGAATAATAGTACAGAATGACCTTATCACTTGCGATTTTTGTTATGGTCTGGGGAGAGACTAGTGATGTGCTACATACAGTACTATATGTACTGTATATTGAGAAAGTGAAAAATAATCCTCTTTCTAGTTGATACCAATATACACTACAATACAACACTAAATACTAACTAAACTACTCTAATCAGAACACTACAACTAATATAACCAAACCTCTAGTAGTAGTAAAGCAATGATCAAGGTGTGGAAAGACTTGGTCTGAGTAACCAAGGTGAATTGGGTTCTTAGCGATAGTGTCAGATTAGAGCTCTAGATTACATCATGAATCTCTTTATTTAGAATCACAGGATTTGGTCATGAATTCCTTCCGTTAATACAGGATTTATTTATTGGGGGGTTAGAATGACACTTCCTTTAATATTGGACCCCAATCGTGAATTTCAAGTTAAATACTCAGATTTCTTTAACTTGAAACTTTGAACTCCCAAGAGCTGAATTATTCTTTATTGAAGATAAATATCACTACTTATATATATTATTTTTCAAACTAAAAATCATTACTTATTTTTCTGATTATTACTATTTTTCTTTTCTATCTTATTTTTTCTATAATACTTTTTGTAACTATTTACCAATAATTAATAGTTATTGGATGCGAAGCATCCAATAACTGTAGTATTCGGCACATTGACATTGATTAAGTAGTGATC